TGTCCTGGGGATTCCCAGGGATGGTTCAAAGTGGTGGTCCGGCCCCACCACTTCTGTGTGTGGCCTGATCTCAGCATGGAAATGGGATGGACCAGAGTTTGGGGTGGGTGTAACAGAGCAAGCCTCAGGGAGAGGGAGAGATAGTCATAACCTGCCAACTCTTCCTCCCTCTTGTTTTCCATCCTTCCTTCCCTTCCTCCCTTCCTTCCTAAGAAGGGAAGTTGTTCCCTTTGTGCCCTCCCAAAGGGAATTTGTTCAGGAAAGAGAAAATATGGATTTATGTTCTCCAAGACACAATCCTCAGGGATGATTCTCCCTCCTTTGAGAAGTCAGAGCATTTGTTCTTTCATCCTCTTTGTCACCAATAACAATTATTAGAAGAGCTTACTATTTCTTGAGCACCTACTGTGTGTCAGGGGACAATACATATATTATTTCTAGCTTTCACAGCAACCCTCAAGGTAAATGTAATTTATGCCCACTTTACAGAGGAGGAAATTGGGGCTTAGAGTGCTTGAGGAGTTTGTCCAGTAAGTTGACTGAACTGGGCCTGGTTCATTCGATTTCTGGCTCCAATGTCATCAATTACTTGCAATATATACTTGCAATGGACTGGCTCCTGGCTAAGACCTGCTAATGGATGCATCTGAAACGAGAAATGTCTTCTATTCAAGTCCCAGACATCCATATCAACAAGGATTAAACACAGAGTTTAACCTGCATCAACTGGCAGTCAAGATGCAAGGGCCGTAATCCTGGTTCTGCAACTCTTTTGATGGGCAGCTTTCAGTGTATATGATGTGTGAACTCCCCTCTCCAGACTTCATTTCTCCATATGCACAATGGGCAAGTTGGACTAAATATGTCCAAGAGTCAGTTCAGTTCAATCCAATCTGACAGCACTCATGGGGCTTTCCTGTGTGACTGTGCCAGGAGGATATAAAGATGGACAAGGTAGACTTCCGTTCTCTAGGTGAGCTAGATGCATGCTCTAATACTTATACATAAAGAGCAAGAAAGCTTGGCGAGCACGGTATCTCATTTAGACTCGGCCAGTGGCAATGTGTGTGGCACAGGAGATGAGGCAGGCTTCAGGGTGGAGGCACCATTGGCACTTGGGCTTGAAAAGGAAATAGAACATGTGGAGGTGGAGACAGGAGGAAGCTTTTCCCAGCCAACACCACATGGAGCAGAAGAACCACCTGGTCATTCCATAAAATTGTGAGAAGTAACAAATCATTGTTGTTTTAAGTCACTACAGTTTTGGGGTGATTTCTTATGTAGTAATAGATAATAGACCCCAAAGGTGGGTGTGTGATTATAGGCTTTATCCTATAAAGGTCAGAGATTGCCCATTTTTAGACCACAGCCTACAGTAATTGGCCTGCAGACATAATTCATTTGGCTTGCACAAGGTTTTTAAAAATAGTTGAGCCAACATTTAGAAATTGGGAGATTTTATATGAAAATCCAGATTTGGGGGCTCTCTTGAAGAATCCTACATCTCAGCACCTGCATTCTAGGAACAGTATGCAACACACATCCTCCAGTTCATGACAGTGCTCTCCACTCCCTGTTGTCTCATGCCTAATCTTTCTAGTCCCTGTAGACACTTGAGGGTTTGCTATTGTTGTTGTTTATTTGTTTTGAGAAGGGTCTCACTCTGTTGCCTAGGCTGGAGTGCAGTGGTGTGAGCATGTCTCACTGTAGCCTTGGCCTCCTGGGCTCAAGTGATCCTCTGGCCTCAGCCTCCCAAGTAGCTGGAAGTACAGGCACATGCTACCATGCTGGCTAGTTTTTTTTTTTTTTGTAGAGACACGGTCTCACTACGTTGCCCAAGCTGGTCTCAAACTCCAGGGTTCAAGTAATCCTCCTGCCTCAGCCTCCCAGAATTCTGGGATTTCAGGCATGAGCCACTGTGCCCGGCATGACATTTGAGTTTTTGATCCATGCCGATGACATGGCAGTGGGAGGCCATTGAAGGTTATTTTGTTTTGTTTTTCTGTTTTTGAGACAGAGTCTCTGTCTCTCAGGCTGGAATGCAGTGGCATGATCTCGGCTCACTGCAACCTCCACCTCCCAGGTTCAAGTGATTATTCCACCTCAGCCTCCTGAGTAGCTGGGATTACAGGTGCCCTTCACCACGCCTGGTTAATTTTTATATTTTTAGTAGAGATGGGGTTTCACCATGTTGCTCAGGCTAGTCTTGAACTCCTGATCTCAAGTAATCCCCCCACCTCGGCCTCCCAAAGTGCTGGGATTACAGGCATGAGCCACTGTGCCCAGCCCATTGAAGGGTTTTGAGCAGAGAAGGAATGATGAGAGTTGGGCAGTAAGTAATGTATTGGTTGGGGGTGACTCTGGGGCGGGTGTAGTAAAAATCTATTATTCAATCTGCCCGAGACCATGAACTCCATCTTTTGGGAAATGCATCTTTCTCTGACCATACGGTTCCGATGGGGCTGCCATCTCCCTGTACATCCCACTTCCCTATTCACAGTGATTGGTTAGAGAGTGGCACCTAGCTTAAGTTGGGCCAGTCACAGCACCTGGTTTTCCAGCCATAGATGATTGGTACAGGGACGGGGTCTTACCCATGTTGGACCAACCAAAGTTTTTCCCTAAAATTTTGTCCTTCATACCAGAAGCAGAAACCCTCAGTCTCTCTCCGGTGGAGCAGGTGAGAGTTGTGAGTGGTGAGTGCTGCTGCAGCCAGGTGCCTAGCCTTGAGGAGAAAAACTCACATACAGAGGTGAGAAGAGATAAAGGACTGGGAGGAGAGTCAGAGTCCTGGCAACATTGAAGCCTCTGCGCTCACCACTTCTGTGCATTTTCTGGGCCTGGTTCTCCAGCCCTCCCATCAGTTCTGGGAGCTCCCCATTCCTTCCTGATAAATTCATTTGCTGCATCTGTTAGCCTGAGTTTATTTATGTTTCGTAATTTGCAACCGAGAACACTGGTGATAACCAGAGGCTTTGAGGCAATTCCAGGAGGGCTACTTCTCACCCCAGTCAGGGAGGAGCCAAGACAGGGTTTATCCTCAAATGCAGAGCAGGAAGGAGATAGTGCTATTCCCACTGGAAAGTGAATTGTCCTGTGAGGCAGGTATCCCTTCCTGCCACTGACTTCCTCCAGAACCATTAAGTAAATATCTATGCCTTTCTGAGCCTCCATTTCCCTATCTATAAAACAGGACCTGGGAAAGAACAGTGATTCTTAAACTGTATTCTGTAACACCCTGGGATTTTGTGGAGGGATCACTGCTTAAGAAGGGTGGCCTGTGGCTGGGGTGGGGAGGTCTAGCAGGAAGGACTCTGGGTTCCTCTCCCCTACTTCAAGCAAAGCCACCTCCTCTCCCTCATCTGTTTCATGCCTTGCCTTTCTGTGAAAGGTCTTGCGTAAGAAAGGTGGACAGCTTGAGAAGTTTGAAAACCCCTAGATGAGGTGTCTTGGAGGAACTTTCCAATTATAAATAGTTCATGATTTTATGGATTCCAAGAGAAAGCAGGATAACTTTTGTTTTGTTTTGTTTTTGAGGCAGAGTCTCACTCTGTTACCGAGGCTGGAGTGAAGTGGTGTGATCTTGGCTCGCTGCAACCTCCGCCTCCCGGGTTCAAGCAATTCTCCTGCTTCAGCCTCCTGTGTAGCCCTACATTGGCCATATCACATTTCCTCATCTGTGAAATGGGGGAAAAAACAGAACTAACCTTGTAGGATTACTAAGGGGATTAAAAATGCAGTCAAACCAAATTACATTATATTCTTCCAATCTTGACGCTTTATCATTTATTATCTCCACCTGTTGAACTGTACTCATCTGTTTTAGTTAGGAAATTATGGCTGCAGGTTATAAAAATCACAACTCAAATTACTATAAAAATATATTTGTTCATGTTAAGGTCCAGAGCTGGGTCAAGCTTCAGGAATGGCTGCACCAGTCTCTGGTTCATTTTTTTCTGTAATGTTTTCTGTCTTGCCCTCCTCCGTGTGATGGTTTTGTCTTCTGGCTGGCTTCCCTCATGATGGCTAAAAATAAAAAAAAAATCTGCTGCAACTCTAGGTAGGCGTCATATCCTATGCCACACTATTCAGAAAGCAAAAGAATGTGGCATCTTTATTCTTCACCTTTATTGGACTAACGACCCTAGGTCCTTAATAATTAGGGAGTAGGATAATATAGTAATTCAGCATGCAGGACCCAAAGTTGGACTCCATCATCAGCTGTGTGACCTTGGGAAAGTTAACCTCTTTGTGCCACAGTTTCCTCAGCTGTACAATGGGGTAAGAACAGTACCTACCACAGAGGGGTGTTGTGGGAATTAAATATGCTTGAAAAGCACTTAGCAGACTGCATGGCAATTAGTAAATTCTCACTAAGTGTTAGCTAGTGTTGCCAGCATATTTCCTTAGAAATGTCTCCCTTCTGCTGGATGTGGAGGCTCACGCCTGTAAGGCCAAGGCAGGAGGATCACTTCAGCTCAGGAGTTCAAGACCAGCTTGGACAATATAGTGAACAGCCCAGAGTGATAGCACATGCCTGTAGTTCCAGCTACTAGGGAGGCTGAGGTGGGAGGATTGAGTTTGGGAGGTCGAGGCCGCAGTGAGTCTTGATCATGCCACTGCACTCCAGCCTGGGCAACAGAATAAGACCGTGTCTCAAAAACTGTACAAACATGGCAGGGTGTGAGGTAGCTCACGCCTGTAATCTCAGCACTTTGGGAGGCCAAGGCGGATCTCCTGAGGTCAGGAGTTAGAGCCCAGCTTAGCCAATATGGTGAAAACCCGTATCCACTAAAAATACAAAAATTAGCCGGGCATGGTGGTACACGCCTGTATTCCAGCTACTTGGGAGGCTGAGGCACAAGAATCGCTTTGAACCCAGGAGGCAGAGGTTGCAGAGAGCCGAGATCGTGCCACTGCACTCCAGCCTAGGCAACAGAGCGAGACTCCATCTCAAAAAACACACAATGAATAGACAAATAAATGACACAACAAGAAGATAAACTAGAGAACATCTCGAGATAAGGTGTTCAGGGAAGATTTCTTTTGAGGAGGTGATATTAAAGCAGAGTTTAGGGAATAACGTCCGAGGCCTTGCGCTCAGGGTCGTCAACTCTTTAATTTGATTTCTCTTCCTTTTGAAGCAGGGCAGGGAGTCATCAAACAACAGAAGGGCAATTATAACTGCTGGTATGGCAAAGCCAGGACTGAATTCAAATTCTGCTCCATTCTCAGGAATCCTGTCTGTTAAGCAGGTTCTGGGGAAGCGATGTGAGTCGTGAAATCACAGGTCAGAGCAGGCATCGAGAATATGGTCAGTTCTCAACTTTCAGGGAAGTCCATAGCTGAAGAATGAAGGACAACGGGCCTCTTGTGCTCTCGTTAGGAAGACTGGTTCACTGGAGGCTGGAACACGATTCGTGAGAGATCCCGACAGGAGAAATGTGTAGGAGGGAGGACTAGCACCTGGATCAAGTTATAAAACATCTCCTGCATCTTTTTCGGACATCACCCTCAGCGCGGCCTCTTCGCCCAGTCCCAGATTAGGCAGCGAAGAGCGATCCTCACCCTAAGTGCCACGTCCCTTGAAAGCGAAAGGACCAGGAGTTTCTTCCTGCCTCGTCTCTTCCGGATCCCTCCTGCACCGCCCGCGGCCTGCAGGTTTCAGCGCCATCTCCAGGCCCCGCGCACCTCAAGCACCACCCCTCAGTCCTTCCTTGGGGCACGCCTCCTTCCGGCACCCGCCCAGAGTAGGCACCCCTGGGGCCCCTCCTCCCCTCCCTGCTTCCGGGCCCGTCTCCTTCAGGCCCGCTTCTATCTTCCTCCCACTCTAGGCTTCTCTTCAGCCCCGCCTCCCTCCGTCCGTGGCTCCGCTCTCTGGGCGGTTCTCCATTTAGCCCCGCCCACAGCATCTCCTTTCAAGCACTGTCCTGGCTCCCAGCTCTCCATCGCCTTCACGGCCTTCCCTGCCTGTCCGGCGACCCTCTTCCCAGGGCCTCATCACACTCTTAGCTCCGCCCCTACTTCGGCTCCAAACCTGTGCAAGCGACTCTCTCTTCCCGCCCCAGCCCCGCCTCCCCAAGCCGCGTCTCAGTCCCTCCTCCCTTTCAGGCCCCGCCCCGGCCCCGCCTTTCTCCTGTCCCCGCCGAAGCTCTGGACCTTTCCAAAGCCAGGCTGAGAGGGTGGGGAGAGCCCATGCGCTTGAGAAGCCGGGCTGTTTCTGGGCGGGGCTGCAGACTCCTAGTTCTTGTGTCACCGTGTCCTTCCGGGGAGACAGAGAGAAGGGGGAGAGCCCGGGACCAGGGCCGGAGCGGCGGGGGGGGCTGAGCAGCGGGGAGCCGCTCCGGGTGCCCCCACCCCCGCGCGCCTCAGTGGTGCCGGCCGAGGGCAGGGCTCGCGGCTGCGGGGCTCGCGCCGCTGTCAGTGCGGCGAGGCGCGCAAGCGGCGCGGGCGCGGGGCAGCGGAACCCGGAGAAGCTGAGGGGGCGGTAGCGGCGGCGGCGGCGGCGGCGGCGGCGACGACGACGACGACGACGACTGCCCCGCGTGTGCCCAGCCTCCTCCCGCCGCAGCTGCCCTTTTCCTCCCTCCCTTACGTCCCCGAGTGCGACAGTACCGCCTCCTTCCCAGCCGCGCGGCTTCCTCCAGACCTCTCGGCGCGGGTGAGTGGGGGCTGCGGGCGTCTCCTTGGGGGTGCGGGGAGGGTGTGTGCTTTGTGCCTTTCCGTTCACTCACTTCTTCAGGCAGGCCGCTGCCTATATTTAGAAACTCTTATTTCTGCCCTTCGGGGAGTTCCCGGGAGCCCGAGTAACTCTAGGCCCCGTCCGCCGCTCCTTTCTCCCACTGGGACCCGCCGCCCCGGGTCGCCGGCCCCAGCCCTTAGCGCCCGGTCCCGCTCCCGGCCGCCCTGGCGTTCCCTGCCTGCTCCTTTCCCGCGGGCCAAGTCTGGGCCAGTAGTTGGCTAGGTGGGCCCGCGCCCGCTTGGAAGTTGGAGTCTTTTGTGCTCGTGCCCCGCCCCGCCCGACGAGGGGCGGAGGGAGGGGAACGGAGGCTGCTCCGGGGAGGCCTCGGGCGGGCCCGGCCGCGGCTGCTTCCGGCTCTTCTACCCAGGCTGGGTCTACGGGCTCCCGGAGGCGCGCAGAGCTGGTCCTGCCTCGGCTCCCGCCTCTTCTGGGCTGTTTGCACGCCTTGGGCTCGGAGAGAAACAACAACGGGCCCTCGAACTGGGGCCGTATCCGCGTTTTCCTCAGCCCCCTTGGCGGCCGAGCCTTAGTTTGCCTCTCGGTGACATGGGGGAAAGGGAAACCCGCCTCGCGGGGTGTTCATGGATTCAGGGAGGGAACTAATATGTGAAAGAAGTGGTTAACACCAACAGGGAGCATTTAATGAGACTTCACCCAGGAACTTCCCAAGCCTTATTTCGTTTAATGCTCACAACGGCCTTCTGGTTTATGCTCATTTACAGAAGCAGAAATCAAGGCGCAGAGGGGTCAAGTAATTTTCTCCGAGTCACAGTAGCCACAGAAGTGCAAAGGAGCGGTGCCAGTACCTGTTATTTATTAATATTTCCTGGTGTGAGCATATATCATCTCTTAGTGTAAAGGGCATTTTTACCTAGCCTTGGGTCACACCATTTAATTAGGGACATAACTCTGGGTTTTCCCTGACTTCTGGGCCGTTGTCCACTATACTATGGATGAAATTCCATTCTGGGGTTACCATAGCTCCAAAGGAAAAGGTTTGGATGAATTCCTTGCTGGTATTGCGACAATTAGAAGTTGATGGATGCAGACTCCAGGACTCAAACACAACTCAAATTCCCGGGGATTTTGGCTTAAGGAAGCTTTGAGACTGTAAACGGTGGGATCCACCCTTTAGTTTTTGTGTGGCGTGTTCCTCCTCTCAGACCTTGCAGGTTCTCTATGTTTAGATTTATCAATCCTAGTTTGATGGGGGTTAGGGGGAATCGCTCAAGTCATCTGCTTTCAAATAAATATTTCTCCTATTTTCAGATAAGGCCCAAAGTGGTTAAAGTGAACTAAAATTAACTTTGGCAAATGTTCCAGTTTTTCAATGTGATCCGGTTTGAGAGAGTGTCTAAAAATCAGGCAAGGGAGTTTCTGGGCCAGGTCTTGAGGAGTCTCTTGATGTTCACATTAGTTCTTTGGAGTCTGGTAGGTCTGTGGTGCCTGGCCAGGATTCTGGATTTAGGAGTCCTTTATAGGAGTTGAAAGGGGTCTTACCGACCATCTGGTCCACGTTTTTCCATACCTGCCTTTCCCTGCTTCCCTGCTAACTGAACCTTGGAAAGGGGAAGTAAGTTGTCTGAATTCAGACTGCCTTGTCAGAGTGAGAACTGAAATTCCCAGTCTTCTTCCTCCTAATCCAGTAATATTTTTATTTCTCCCATACCTTGCCACCTCTTGTATTTTTTTTTTTTTTTTTGTAGAGACGGGATTTCACCGTGTTAGCCAGGATGGTCTCGATCTCCTGACCTCGTGATCCGCTCGTCTCGGCCTCCCAAAGTGCTGGGATTACAGGCTTGAGCCAGCCACTTATTAAAAAGGGCACGAAACCACTTATTCAGGTCTTAAGGTCAGGAATCCTGAGTAATTGGAAACCCCAAGGAAGTTTTATAGTCCCCACCACTTTCTGTGCCTTATGGTTAATATTAAGAGGAGGCCAGGTTTAAGCACAGGTGTACTAGTTCTCACAAGTCACCACTTCGGTTTTATGTGTTTATGGCTTATATACTCTTCCATAGCCATTATGTGGTTTAATTTCTAATCCATTTCTGTGAGGGAGTTTGTAGAGCTTGGTTTATGTCTCTTTTACTGTGAGGGAATGGAGACATAGCATAGCACTTGCCTTAGATGACAGAATGAGTAAGTAGTGAGGACAAGACACCTCTCTGGAGCAGAGGATTTGATCTGGCATCATAAACTGAGCCACTCACTGTGGCTCTCTGAGCCTCAGTTTCCTTATATGTAAACTCTCATAGGATTGTTGTGGGGATTATTTAAAAAATGGCTTTGAAAGTGCTTTATAGTGGCAGTAGTAATAGCTAAACTTATTAAGTACTTAACGTGTGCCACCGGCCAATGGACTGAGGACTTTATGGACTATATTACTTAATTTTCAGAGCAACCTGTGAATTAAGTACTATTATTATCCCTGTTTTATAGAAGAAACAGGCTTAGAGAGGTTACATTACCTGCCTCAGGGTCATGTAACTGGTAAGTGGCCAAGGCAGTATTCAGACTGCAGACAGTATAACCTTAAAGCTGGCATGCTTTTTTTAAAAAAAAATTGTGGTAAAATATATATAACATAAAATTAACCATTTAACCATTTCAAAGTATACGTTATGTGACATTAAGTACATTCACATGGTTATGCAACCATCATCACTGTCCATTATCTTCCCCAGCTGAAATTCTGTACCCATTAAATTAACTCCCCATTCCCTCCTCCCTCCAGCCTCCTGAAAACTATCATTCTACTTTCTATGAATTTGACTACTCTAGGAACCTCATGTAAGTGGAATCATGCAATATTTGTCCTTTTGTGACTGCAAAGCTGGCACACTTAATGTCTTCTTTAGTCTCAGCGTGCATTGTAAATGCAAAATATTAATCCTCGCCTGTAGCAGAGATGTGGCATGCAGCTCCAGAGCAGGAACCCAGGCCTGGTTGTATCTCTGAGTAAGACCTACTTCTCTCCCCCTTCGGTTGAGCTCGCTTATCACCGAAGCCTGTTTTGAATCTCTGCTGGCTCCCTCAGTATCTGCAGAAGAGACCTTATACCCTGTGTTTTTGGAGACGGAGTCTCACTTCGTCGCCCAGGCTGGATTGCGGTGGCACGATCTTGGCTCCCTGCAACCTCAACCTGCTGGGTTCAAGGGATTCTCTTGCCTCAGCTTCCCGAGTAACTGGAACTACAGGCTTGCACCACCACGCCTGGGTAATTTTTGTATTTTTAATAGAGATGGGGTTTTACCATGTTAGCTAGGCTGGCTTCGAACTCCTGAACCTCAGGGGATCCCCCTGTCTTGGCCTTCCAAAGTGCTGGGATTACAGGCGTGAGCCACCACACCAAGCTATTACACCCTTAAAATAGAACCTCGATAACTTTCCACCCTCACCTCGTTTGCAGCTGCCTTTCTGACAGTCTAGGGTTTGGGGATATGGGGCTGCAGTTATCAGGAATAACAGTGCAGTGGCAGCACCTTGGATCAAAACTACTCAGGATGATTAAGTAGATCACCTTTATGAAATGTTCCCTCTTTCTCCCCCTCTTTCCATAAAGACACACAGGAGGGATTAGCTTTTGGGTTCTTAGAGGATGTTTATGGATCATCACTGCTTGCAGTTGGTTAAGATGAAGTTAGATGCTGCATATAGCGTGTCAAAATGTCCTTTTGACCGTCTTCTGTGTTGGTGTATTTAGGGGAGTGGGCTTTTTATGTTTATGAAGATGGTTGGAATTTTGTCCTGATAACAACTGGGGATTGGGAGAGGTGGTGTCTCAGAGATGGGTAACAGGGTAACAAACACATGATCATGTGTCTGGTCATGTCACACTCTCCTTAAAAATCTGATGGCCCAAACATTGCCTACATATTAAAGTTAAAACAAATGTGACCCATGCGGTCAATGTGTTGAATTTATTGGATAGAATCTTGTAGTTGAGGGTCCTTATAGTCATTTAGACCAGCTGCCTGGCTGATATTTGAATTGGTTACTTGTTGAGACTGTCTTTCATTGGATACCTCATTTTTGGAAAGTTTTTCATTCGCTGAACAATTAGTAAGCATCTGTCAGACCTGGTACTACGCTTAGGGATTTGAGTTCATATAGCCTAGTGGGAAAGACAGGCAAGGAAACAGGCAGTGTGAAAAGTGTTGTGACAGGGACAGGTACCAGGAGAGCACAGAAAAATGATGCCTAACCCAGCACTGGAAGGTCAGGAAAGGCTTCTTTGGAGGAGAAGTTGGTTAAGCCTAGTCCTCAGGAGAAGAACAGACATAAGCCAGGAAAAGAAGAGATCTGGGGAGTCAGGGAGGAGGCAGAGATAAGACTGTTCTAGGTAGAAGGAACAGCAAGTTCAGAAATGGTGATAATAGGTTAAGACTTTTGGCCATTTACCATATCCATTATGTACTATTCTAAGAATTTAATTTGTATTAACTTATTTCTTCCCATAACCATCCTGAAAGTAAGTACTATTATTATTCCCATTGTGTAGTTGAAGAAACGGGCTAAGAAAGCTAAACAAATTTCTCAGGATTATTGGGTGGAGCATAATGCTTGAGGTGGGTGGATGTGGCCAGACAGGAGACTTTCAAGGTAGGCAGAGCAGAAGCCAAGTCAGGAAAGGGCCTTCTTGCCTGTGTTGAGGAGTTTGGACTTCATCCCGAGGTGAGGGGGCCATGATTCAATGTACATTGTGGAAGGATATCTCTTTCTGCCTGTTCAGGAGTGGACTGGAGAGCTAGAGCACTGTGGGCAGAGAGGCCAGTTAGGGGGTTGGCAAGAGGTGATGATGTTTCAAATGAAGGTGGTGGAAGAGCATGTGCAAGAGTGTGTGTAGAGAAAAGATGGAATTGCTGGGCCTGGTGGCTCACGTTTGTAGTCCCAGCACTTTGGGAGGCCAAAGTGGG